AAATAGGGATTTAAGGATATAGGTACTTTGTTCCCTTAACTACAGTGTGTAACGCACATTTTTGTATCTTGATGAATTAAAAAAAAAATTAATATTTTTGTAAGACCTTAAAGAAAATTAGAAAGGAGGAAGTTTTGTTTTGCCACATAAATTTGCAGTGTTTTTACATGTAATTGAGTGTTGGCATCAGGACTGTCAACATTCATGAAGAGGTGATGTTAATATGGTAAAACAAACTTTAAAATTTAAGAATACTCCTGGGAATGTTTCTAAAACAGTCCTTTCTATTAGCACAGAGAGATAATGGTATTGTAATTGGTTTCCTTTAATACACACATTTGAAGTTAGCAGCCCATTTTGCATTCTCATCTTCTCCCTTTACAACCAGATGTGCAGCTTTCCTAAAACAGTGCTCAGGGGATTCTCAGCAAAAGCCTTGAGCTTGGTTCTCAGCAGGTGCTGATCTCAACACCTTGTTCTAAGGAGGAGTAATTGTATTTAAAAAAAAGAGGCATTTTGGAGTACCAACACCATCTCAATTAAGCATCCAATGGGGAGGTCTGTGGTGGCAGGAAGAGAACATTAAAGAACTGCTGCCATCACTCCTTGTAGTCAGCAAACTTCCAGCACTTTTCCAGGTCTCTGATTTTAACTATGACCTGTAACAAGCAGACTCTTATCTTGATGTCCTGTGGACCTGCTTTTAGGTGAACTTACCTTCTGCCCAGAAGTGAACTTATTTTCTGTTCAGAGTTCTGTGTATTTGACACAAATGATTCTACAGCTTATGCTGTTTAAAAACTGAAGCGCAGACCAAAGCCCCTAACACCAAAACCGAATAAATCTGAAAAAGTGAGAAGTGTATAAACTTCCTCTCAAAAATACATTTAATATGAGAGTAGTACTTATACAGACTGAGGAAATGCCATGTACCTGTGATGCCTTTTTCTTGGATCTAAAATTAATTCAGGCATGGTTAAGGGATAAAGGGTTTTTATTTTGGTATTTAATAAGGATCCTTGTGGTGCAACATTTGGCCAAGGTGGAATGCACTGAAATGCACATTCAGGGTAGATCCTGCATACACTTTTATAGACCTTGCAAATTAGCATATTCAACAAACACCTCAATGAGGGGCTTGAATGAAGAGTGTGATATCTTCCTATCCCAAAGTATCTCCTTCTAGATGGGCATAATTTTAGTTGACAGGATGTATTCTAGAGGGGACCTTGGTTTCTCTGGCTATTGTAGGGTTTTCTGGCCCCCAATTGCAAGGCCTTTAGGATCTTGGTCTCCTGGCCTAACAGAATACCTGGACTATGCTAAGTTATCAGACTTAAGGAATTACAAGCACTTTTTTTTCAGGGTGTAATGATTTTTCCTAATTTTAACACTCTTTTTTCAGGGTGTAATGTAGATTTCCAGTGTCTTTTTTTTTCTTTTTCTAGTATGGGTTATACAGATTTGAGGTCTGTTGTGGCTGTAAAATTAGAATACTTGCTGTGTTAGCCTTTAATACTGTATTCCCACCTACAACTGCAGTAACACAGCTTGAAGGGAATTTAATTAGGAAAATGAGGCAGATGAAATAGGCAATGTAATGTATATCAGCAATATGAAGAAGAGTAAATACACTTTTCATCTGAATAGTCAGAACAGAAACTGTGTTAAACTGGGCTGAAATTTAATCAGAAATGGATTTCTTTCATTTTCTAACATTACTGTGTAATTGTCCTCCTTATTACTGGGGATTAGAAAGGCTACCATCATAAAAGAGGAAACATCTTTAACCAATTATGTGTTGTTTCTAGTTTGTCTGGCAGTGACTTTCTCTTTATGTGAAAAATGGAAATCCCTGGAGGAACAGACTTAGTGTGGTCATTCCAATCTGGGAATTGGGAAGCCTTGTGCACACACTGCATCTCATGACCTGTGTGCACACACCTGTGCTCATTGATTCCTGCTGCTTTACAGACCATGCAAGCAATAAGTGGTAGAGTTCAGGTGCATGAAAACTTGCTCTGCCAGTAGCAGTTTCCTTCCTGGCAGCACTCTGGAATATTCCAGCCTTGCTGCACAGTCATGGATATTTCACTTGTACTCATTACTTATTTCCCTGGTGCATTTTTTAGCATTTGTGTTGGTTCTGAGCACAGATGATTGTACTGTGCAGAAAAACACAGAGGATCACTAGGGCAGAAGGCAGCTGAAGTAATATATAATAGATTATGAATAATTGTTTAAGAAAAAGTCTCCCCTAATCCCTTTGCAGAATTGGAGAGAGTAGCACTGGGAAGTCTGCAGTATTACACAGCACAACCAGTACAACTGACTCATTAGTTTGAAACACATTTATCTAGTCTGAATCAAGAGATAGAAATGCATGATTCAGATAGATTTTTGCATAGTAAACAAACAGGGTTTTAATAAGTGCTTTAATTCTAAATCAAGCTGCTTGGGCTGTAATGTGATTCTTCAAACTATTGCAAAGAGAGATATGAAATTAGTGCTTTTACTGTACTGATTTTTCTAGGTATTTTAAAAATAAGACAGGTAGTAAAGTAAGTAAATATTATGTGATAGGTGCATGATGAAAACATAGTACAGGCAACCTAATGTCACCAATCTTATTTTGCTGTTTTTTGCTTAAGGCATCAATCAGCTAGAGGACTTCTCCTGCTGATTAACAATTTTCAGGTTCTCTCCCTCAAGTCAAATTTGAAATCATGATATTTAGCAATTGTGATTTTGAAGCCTTGTTTCTGTGCTTAATTCTGTCCTTTGTATCTGGACAGTACCTTTATTTATCAGTGTCCTGGAAGACAGAACAAGAAATCATCAGTAGCACTTGGGTTTTTAGTCCATAGCATTGCCAAATGCAAGGGCAGGTGGTACATTCGATTTTTCAGCTTCTGGAGACACCAGCTTACCATTTCATCACTGGAGGGTAGTCCTGGTATGGAATGTGTTTCTCTCCTTTGTCAGAAGCATTTCCTTCATTGCAAAGAGAACCATGTCTCTCTACTGAGTTGTGTGAAAACATTCTGCATGTTTTAATTGGAATGAAAAACCCCCATGGGGGGTTGCTGATGGACTGCTTAAGAGAAACGAGGCAGATTGATTGAAGTTCCTAATAGTCATTTTTTCAAGCATCAGCACAGGATAGCAGGTGTTTTCTCTGCTAAGCAATTCTTCTAGTAGCTAAAGAGACTTGAGTTTTGTATGTTGTCAACTTTCAAGTTTAATATATGCTAAGGGACAAATCTCAGACACTTAATCTTCTCTTGTCTTTATGTAGAAAAGAATGTAGAACCTTTTCAAATCTTTGAAACAGGCATAGTTAAAATCTCCACTCTTCCTTAATCTGTTTAAGCATTTCCTTTCATCTGTGATTTTCAGAAATAAAACAAGACATGATGCCTGCTTAGAAAATGTTTATTACATGGAAGTGTAGTAATCTTATTTGTTACTGTATCATATACTAAGATTTATATGTGTTTTTCTGGTGTAAACCCTGATTAGATGCATCTGCTGCCCTTAACTTACATTCTTCTGTGGAATCAGACCACTACAAAGCCAGAAGTTCCTTTAGAAGAACAAGTATTTCTCAAAGACATTTTCAAAGTGTGTGCACTTGGAGGGAGTTGTTATGTGTACGTTTTTATGGGAACAGGTACAGGTGTGTGGGCACACAGTTTGCGGTGATTGGGGTGGGGCTGTGCCTCATCCCCAATGAGCTGCAGCTGTGGAAAACAGGTGAGCAGCATTGAAGGTAACGAGCCGTGGAGAGCCCAGGGGCTCTGACCAACCACCAAAGGGAGCAGAGGGCACACAGGTGCAGTGCATCAACCATGAGGGTATAAAAGGCTGGGCTAAGGAACAAGAAGGGCAGTTGCTTGCAGCCTTCTGATGAGGTATGGTGTTACTCTGTTTGGGGGGATGCTTAAAGCTTTCTGAAATTGTGTGGTGATGCTCTGTTTATTGTGGCTATCTCAGCTGTGATATATGCTGTGATACAAGTGGGATGATAAATCAGAATAAATCTCTTAGATTAAGAACGAAGTTTAGGTCTTAACTGTACACAGTAATCTTGCAAGTAAGGAACTACAACAGAAGACCCTCCATGGCTGTAGCAGTAGATCTCCCTGTCTCAGGCAGCATATGAAACTGAATTTTCTGATTAGTCACTTGGTTCAAGTTGGGTAATGTGAGTGTAACGCTTCCGATGTGTCTCAAGTATTGTCACATGAAATTTGTCATTTCTTCATTTTTCACCCTGCAGTACCTTGGATATTTCTGATTGAATTAAATACTTTAAATACTCTAGGGCTTAAAGACCTAAAATAGACACTGTTGGGACTGTGCTGTAGCTATTTAAGAGGGATTTTCATTCTTGTCATGAAGAGAGAAAATTTTAGTGAATGAAAGTGGAATTCTGTGACTTTCTATAAGAGAAAATGTAGCAGTGATCATCTTCACATTCCCGTTGCTCAAGCTGGAACGTGTGGATGGAAAATGGCTAAATAAACTTTCTTCAATTTGCCAGTGTTTCTTCAGCTGATGTATTTAATGGAGAGATTAAGAAAACGTGGTTTATTTCTTACATCCTGTGTGCACTGATTTGCATTGAGTCAGAAAAAATGTGAAATCCTATTTGTGCTTCTCAAAGAACATATCACCCAAATGTTTACAATGCAGGAGAAATGAAAATGGGAGGGAGAAATTGCATTCCTAGAATTCTGTAGCCCTGCCAAGATGATGAGAGTAGACTTTAAGAAATTATATGTAAATATTTTGCTTTGGAAAGAAGCCTTTTCCACCCCTTCTTCAAAGACATGATCAATTTATGGGAGGTGTAACAACCATTCCAAGACTCCCAGTTGATGAACCCAGGAGGCACTTTCTGCTGGAAGCTGCACATGCAGTTGTATTGTTTTATTCCTGTTGCTTGGAAAAGGCAGAGTCAATCCCTTAATTATCTTAACCATTGTCTCTTTCAGACCCTGAAGATCAGCCCTGAGCATGCTGAGATTTGGGCAGCACCTGATCAAGCCCTCGGTGGTGTTCCTGAGGACAGAGCTGAGCTTTGCTCTGGTGAACCGCAGGCCGGTGCTGCCAGGACGTATCCTTGCCATGCTGCTGCTCCCTGGAAGGGCAGGACACGCTCAGGACACTTGGAAGGCCAGGTAGGATGGGACATGGGTTTATTCCAAGTCCAGGCAGTGATGCTTGATCAGAAGATGCTTGATCAGTGTTGCAGAACTGCTGAAAACAGTTGCTTAGCAACTGTGACCTTCGAGGTGAAATTCTATTGACCTTTTCACCACAGAAGATATATAAACAACCAGGTGCTACTAAAAGCATTTTAAAGTCTATTGGAGGTGGTACTGTTTAAATTCCATATCATGCTGAATAACACATCCCACTTCCCTATTAATAATGTCACTTATTTTTTGATGTGGTAACTCTTTTATGGAGGATTTTCAACTTTTCCTGGCTAAATGTACACCATTTGTCAAATGCCCGTAGAACCCTGTATGAAGATTTTGAAGACTTTTTTTTGGGGGATACAGATTGCTTTGATTAATTTAGGTGGGAATGGATTAAATAAGCCATCTGTATAGTGCACACATTTCATGATGAAAATATGAAGCCTCATGGAGTAAATAAAATTCTTGAGTTTGAAACTGTATTGTAACTTGATTATACAAGATGCTCAATGTTCCTATTTAATGTGTTGTGTAGTGTGTTATTTTCCAGTCAAAATTCTGCTGCTCTCTAATTTGTGCTGATTTTAGTGGCTGGAAATGAAATTTTTCAGAAATAATTGACTGATCTCCTCTTCCATAGAGGTTCATGATAAAATTTTAGGAGTTTTAGGAGGAGCTCACGCAAAGAATGAATGTGTTGGGGGAAAAAAAGTTTATTATTTATTGGAGTTTATTGAAAGTTTTCTTGTTGGTTTTGTAGCTCTATGTTGGTTTTTTCATATCTTAAAATCAAGTGAATTTTAATATAGATTTTTAAACCCCAAATTATTTTTCCTCTGAAGTGTGGAACCTTCCTTTCTTCCCACCAGTTTTGTAGGTTATAATTGTTCAATATTGAACTTTTTTCTCCAGCTCCTTTGAATGGTGTTTGTGTGTACCAGAAGTCAGAGCATGGCAAAGATGCACAGACTTCAGAGAAACTTTAAAGGTGTTACTGTCTCAGGAATGCACTTTAATGAATTAAATTAACAGTTTTTCTGCTCTTTGAGTTTCTGAAATTCCAGATGTAAATCCAAGTGATTTACAGGTTTCTCATAACAAAAACCATTTCAAAGCTTTATAAAGACAGTGTCACATCGATCACTGTGTGAGGCAGGTCCTGTAAGTGCCTGAGCAGTTGCTGCATGCATTGTGTGGATCAGAGAGTAAATAAACTCTTATCTGTTCTGTGAGTGCAGGTTTTAAACACAATACTTGACTTTTTTGAAAAAAATTAATCAGTTAAGCGAACAATTGCATCTGTTGTTAAAAATAGAGTATTTCAAATGAAGTGTTCTTGTTTTAAAGTTTTGTGAGCACCTAGTAATGACAAGTTAAGGAGCCTATAAAACTTAATTATTACAAGCTTCTTTTCTTCTTAAATAATTAAAGATTATAAACTCTCATTGTATAATTATTGCTGACTTTTGGCAGATACATTTATTTGCTCAGGGTTTAGCTTTGTTATCCCATAATGAGTTTTGCAGTGTGTTTTATAGTGTCACATTGTTTTAATAGCTTGTGTTGTAATATATAATGTAGTCTTTGTTTCTCCATTGAATAAATGTTCAGGTAATAAAAACCCAACCCTTTTCCTTTCTCATTACAATGAGAAGAAATTAGGAGAGATCTTGATGTAAAGGCTAGAATACAGTATGTAAAATAGAGCAATTTGCAGTTGTAAGCCTTTTAAAGTGTCTGTATAATGCAGAATTCATCTTGAGACCTGGCAGTAAGAAGTGTATTTTCTTTGTTTTATTGCAATAATTTTATCTGCCTTGTCTTTGGCACATGTGTGACATTTTTTTTCAGTGGAAAATAAAATATTAATGTATGTGAATTAGAGAGACAAAGGAAATCAGTTTGAAAGCCAGATCACTCCAGGTGGTGGCTTTAATTAACTAGTAAGGTTGAAATTCTGTCTTGAAACAGAACATAGGGTTGGAATTATGAATTTGCAGTAATAGTTTTAAAATAAAACTATTCTCTGGGAGAAAGTCTGTCACAATGGCCTTGTGGAGTTCAGTGTGACTTCAGCAATGTCAAAGCAGGCTTGTTCACTTAACACATTGAAAAGTTTTGTTTTGCTTATTTTGAGCTGCCAATCCTGTGAATTTATCTTGACATTTGAAAGGCAAACTGTGCAAACAGTCCAAAATTAGGTAGAGTAAGAATATGGTATTTATGGTAAGGAAAGGGTTCTCCTGTTCCTGGACAGAGGTGCCTCAGTTTTCTCAGCATTAGATTTCTGCCCAGTGGGTGCTCTGAGCTCAGACTCAGGAACTCAGTTTGTATTGGGATCCCTTGGTGTGATTACTGCAGATTCTTAGATAGGGAGGCGCTGAGTACTCATTGTTGAATAAGGATATCCAACATTAAACTGGGATTTTCAGTATGTAAGCTACAATGTGCACATTTGTGGGACAGTAGGAAACATTGACCTCTCCTGGCACAAGGAGACAGAGGAGAGCTGCAGGTGGTCAGCGTGCGGGGTTAGTGCCTGTTCCCCTCAGGACATCCAGTCCCTTTGCTGTCACCTGGCAGGCAGAGACTCAGAAGTGTTGGACTACAGGCTGTCTGGAGACATTGTCACCTGTAATAATAAAGGGTCTGTATCTGCCCTGCTGTTGTCTTCTCCTTGTCTGATATCAGAGCAGAAGGCACATGGCATTGGGGACAGTGTTGATTAATGAGATACTGGATTTTGGAGTGTACTTTTATGATGCCTTTCTGACATTGTGGCAGAGCCAAGAGTCTGGGTGGGAACCCAAATACTGTATTCAGTGCACATCTGGGCTGTAAGCTTGGGGTGGGGAGGAGGTAGCTGAGTGTTCTGGAAGCTTGCTGGGATACTCTTATACAGGTATCCATTCCCTCTTTTACAGGAGTCTGTTTCCTCTCTGTTCTGTCGGCTTGCTGCTTTGCAGAGGGTGATTGTGAAAAGCAGTCACTTGTGGCTCCCTTGAACAGCTCTGTGGTTGTTTTGGAGGAGGCAGCTATTCAATAGCTGGAGCAGTGCAGGGATGTGTCTATAGTCAACAAATGCATTGTTTCTGTCACACAAAAGGCACAAGACGAACTGAATCAGCTCATGCAAGCAGCATGAGCTCAGCTTCTCCTTGGCTTCTTGTTTGAATGACTTGATTCAGAACCTTGCTGCTTCCACAAAGCAGAACTGTGGTGCTGTTTGAAACAAGTTCCATCTGCTCTTTGACATGGACCTTTTGTGCTTTAATGTGGTAACGATACCTTGTGAATGACCTACCATTGTATTGATGTTTTCTTAGCCCTGCACCAGAGCTTTACATGGTTTCACTCCCATCTTCAATAAAAATGAGCTGGTTTTTATCACTGCCTTTCTTATGGTGTTGTGCAGGGTACTTGTTTTCATCTTGTGTTAAATATGAAAAATGAATTTCAACATTAGCAGAATCCATTTGGAGACTAGGACTTTTTATTATAAATAAAATTATTCATTAGTTATGTCCATTTTTTTTTTCCAGTAGACAAGGTATTGATCTTTAGATTTGTGTTCAGGGCGCCATAGGAACTAGCACAAAAGGAACACAGCAACATTTGTAAATTGATTGAATGCAGTGTGTAATGACAGAGACAAACAGCAGATCTATGGCAATACTATATTATACAAAGCATTTTTCAGCAGTTTATTGAATTGGTTATTAAAACGAATGGTCTTTCCAGCTGGGAACAGCAAACTGAGGGTTATTGGGACCAAGTAATTTTATAGAAATTTGTGGACACTTTAGCTCCCTTAGTAAGGGCACATGTATGTGTGTAGTAAATAAGAATAAACACTTTATGACAACTTTTCATATGGGATTGATTATGAAAAGGTTTTTTCATCTAAAGAAACCCAACAAAACAGAAACAGAAAAGGAAGACTGTTTAACTGTTACATCCTGTATTTCACTGGACTATTTTGTACTGCTCTTTTCATAGATATCTAAATTTTCCCACCAGAAATTATTCTGATTGTGGGGAATAGACCATGTATAAAACCCCAAAGCATATGATATTTTCTGGCACCTTCATCCCTACATGGAGATAATGGTCATTATTTGTTGCTGAGGCCGTGTGCTGTTCTGTGAGTTCCTGCCGCTTGTTCCTGTTATTAATGAGCAGAGAAAACATTAGTTGAACCAGATGCTCCCTTCAAAGGCCTGCTAACACCCCGAGCTGCAGTGTAATTGGTCTGCTGCAGGGGTGGGATGGGATCCAGGGTCAGGCAATGTGAGAGCAGCATCTGCTCTGCTGCACAGTTTGTCTGGCTGGGAGCTCCCTGTCATCTGCTGTCACTGCAGCTGTATTGCTTCAGACTGATGTGTTCTGTAGTGCCACAAATATTTTCCTAATGCTTTCCTTAAAAAGAAATGGTCTTTTAGAGTTATTGTTGTTACTTAATATATTTTCCAAGTAATTTTCATTTAGTTTCAGATCTGACAGATTTTCCACTGAAGACAGTACACTAGAAAGAACAGTAGTATTCTCTCACAAGTTTGGTTGAAAACCATGGTATTTATCTTGTATAATGAAATTTTAATTCTTCATAAACTTACAGAATTGCTGTTATGATTTTTTTGTACATTACACATTTATCATATCTATATTTATGCTCTGTAAGTATGAATTTGATGGGCTTCAGCCTAAATAAGTGTTAATATTTACCATAAAACTAAGATTAAGAAAATAAAATTGTTATATTGCCAAATATATGTTTATATCTACATATTCCAATAATGTGCACTGCATGTTTGCAACAACTTGTTTGAGATACCTAATCTTGTAGGAAAGTACTCTCTAGTTCTCATTACAGAAGCTTCCTATACATTACCACTATTATTAGTTTGTTTAG